TTGTGGACCTCCCTTCCCCTTACTTGCTTCCCCGACGACTATCAATATTCAAGTTTAATATCAATCCTGATCCTGTTCCCCGTACTTCTCTGTATCCTAAGGGAGAAATTATAGTTGTTCCAACGAGAGAAATGTGTTTATATGCAATACTTTTTTATCCAATATAGAAAATAACGTATAATATATAAAAAAATAATAACGTTCCTACTTCTCTTTCATCTTGAAATTATATATATATATATATATATATATATATATATATATATATATATATATATATATATATATGCATATAATATTTTTGGCACTGCGTTTATGTGTCATTTTTCTCTGGTAAATCCCTCTAGGTTACTTCTGCATTGTTCCCTTTTATACGCAATTCATATCCCTTGCGTAAAATTCAACCATCCTTTTGCTCCTCCTTTTGTTCTTCTTTCTTGATATGTACAGCGCATATCTCTTTTTTTGTCATTTATTAAGATTCATGATAGGGCTTGCCTTGATCTAGTTTCATATCCACTTTGACACCCCCAATTTTTTTTTTTTTTTTTACTAATGCCTAATATTTTTATTTTCCATTCATCTTGCTGCGTTTCTGTGATGGCTTCGAAGTGATTTTCTTAATGTTTAATATTTGCCATCTATATATCAACTTTGTCATTTCGAGTATATTGGCTTATCGTTATTTCGCTGTTACATTTTTACGATCTTTCACTTACTGGAATATCTGGCTTAAACAAATTTATTCATAGACTTATTAATGTTAAATATTAACCTTGTTTTATTTCTGTTAATGCTTAAACGGACTTTGTAACATTTCAGTTCTGAATATTAAGCTTTTCTCTGATTCATTCAAAGATTTCTATTTTGGTAAAATATATTCCAAAAATCGTAGATGTTTCGATTATATTCCGTATATATTGCGAATAATTAGTAAATTATGAAATCATAGGTATAGTGCCGTGCTGAGTAAGACGATAAACGACATCCGCGTCCTGAGTAAGACGATAAACGACATTCAATAACAAGGCCTCTGATCAGGTTTTGAGGAGCGTAGAACCACTTCTGAGTTGCTAATGTTCCCAGATCCACCCTAAACAGGAGTGGCAGCACCTGTTAGGGTCCCAGCTATGGGCAAATAATTGACCCCCAAACTGGGATCGAAACAGTACGAAAGTGTAAGAATAGGTTTTAATACCAGTAATACATTGTTGTAAGATGTTATTACCAGCAATGAATGTTTGAAGAAAAAAATATTACAAGCAATATATTTACGAAAAAAACAATATCGCCAGCAATAAAAATTCTTGTCGGCATTAAATTACCTATAGAGGTTGATATGCCCTAAAACAAACCAAACCAAACTAAATAGGCATACTCGAAACCCTTTCCCCTTGCTTCACTCATCTTCGAATCTATCTAGTATTTGTGTATTTGATAGTTTATTTATAGTAGTGAAGTTATCAGTAATATGTAAATCATATTCTTAAATGTATTACATCTATGGTCTGTTAAATGTCTCAGAATGTTATACTGAGTCAAATGACATTTCATCACCAACTCAAGAGAACAGATTTTTTTAAAATAAAATTTTACCATTGGAAGTTTAATATCCACTCATATTTCAGTGTTAAAAATGAATAAGGTTTGAGATAGTAATGTACAAGAAGTTGGTAGGTAGTAAATATTAGGAAAATATAGACAGCAACTATCCTTAATTTCTTATTGTGTTTAGACCAGCAAAACGCGGGATTCTGATTCCCAAATAGAAACCCATTGGTAGATTTATTTCAATTAAACTTTCTTGTTACATTTTGAATACAAGAGCAATTAACGTGATTCGGCTCAGGGGAGGTAACATGGCGTATACTAGTCCTAAAGGGAAACAAATGGTTATAAAGGATGGAGCCCGCCTTAACATTTGTCCGGGAGATACCGAAAGATTGGCTACACGTTTTCAGCATTTTGTGTGGGTGAAAGGAGCTGCGGGGTGTTTTCGAGGGTGGGCTGTACAATTCATAGTCTAACTAGGAAGGAATTGTACTAGAGCTTGCTACATCAAGCATCCATTACTTTCAACTCTTCTTATTAATAACAACATTCTTTTCCTCCAGGTAAACAAAATATCTATTCAACGAAGACTTGAAAATAACTACATTATTTACATTATTCGGACTATTGTCCTCATCTTTGTCGCCATATTTATCACAACGTTTCGGCCGTTGTACGCTCCTGCCTTCTTCAGGTGGTTGGAATTTTTAACTGAACCCTTTATTTCGCTCACTGGGGTAGACTGTTCTAGTTCCACGTGCCATGTCTAATGGATGTCAGTTATCATTTATCTCCTGTTAATCCCCCTCTCCAAGTTCTCCACCGCCTTAACCGGGTATTGAACTCACATTCTTTGGTTCGTGCCATGTTTTATGGAAGTCAGTTATCAGTTATCTCCTGCTAATTTCCCTCTGAAAGTTCTCCACTGCCATGACCGGGTATTGAACTCACACTCTTTGGGTCCTGTCACTGAATCTAACCAACGCCTTTATCCACTGTGCCATGTGTCTTTGAGGACACATGGCACTGAAGAAGGCCGGGGCGTACAACGGCCGAAACATTGTGATAAATATGGCGACAAAGATGAGGACAATAGTCCGAATAATGTAAATAATGTACATAATACCTCATCTCAGAAGATAGACCCTTGAAAATAACTAGTCACGAATTCTCTAGAAAATTTGTCAACGTGGCTTAACAACCCAAGGAAATTCATACTGACATGGTTGCTATATTGAGAGCCGACAGAACAGGAATAGGCTGTTGTAAAATTAACTCAAGTTTTGACGACCTGCAACATCCACCACCGATGAAAACATTGATCATGTTCATTACATGATGGTGGGTGGCTGGCGATTAATCATAAATCAAATAGCTAATGCTATTTGCATATCTAATTAGAGAGTTAATAATATTCTACACAATACTCGGTACGAAGAAGGTTTCAGTTCAATCGATGCTACGTCATATGACATCATATAAAAACCGCGCCAGCTGATCACATCACGTGAAAATCTTACATTGTTTGGTGGAGCTCCTACAGGTTTCATTGAACGTTTACTAACCTGGGATGAGTAATGGTTTCCCCACATTAAGCCAGAGACAAAGTGAGAATCCATTTAGTAGAAACACTCGTTCTAACTTGCTCGGAAGAAAGCCTAGTTAGTTTCATCTTCAGGGAAGGTGATGGCCTCAGTTTTTCTAGATGCAAAATGCATTTTTTTACTGGCTATCTACAAAAAGCAACATCGGCAATAGAGAATACTATACCAACTTTTTAAGGCAGTTCCGAAAAGTTGTCTAGGTTAAACGAGCTGGAAAAATTGATGAAAGGTTTTTTGTTTCATCGGGACAATGGTCTATCACACAAGTCTTTGGTCTTAATGACTGCTCTACGTGACTGTGGCTTTGAATTGGTTTAGCACATTCCCTATTCTCCCGATTTTACTATTATCATTTCCTCAACAAGAAAAAAAAAAAAACCTCATAGCTGTTGAATCAATATCTCATTGATTATGATGTCATATCTGTTGTTGATGACTTTTTTACCAAAAGTATTATCTGTACTTTTTGAACAGTCAGATGTCAGTTTAACTTGTCGAAAGCAATGCGGTTAAAAATATAAGACTTTAAATAAACGCATTCACGATTCCACTGCTCCCGCATTACTTCTCCATAGTCAGCTTATGAACTTTTTAGCCCACGCTCGTACACAGAAAACATTAATGCGTCCTAGGAATGACGATAGACTGCATCCGGCAGGAAGGCCTCTGATCGGGTGGTGTTGAAGAGCGTGGGACCACATTTTAATTGCTGTTTCTCAGGTTCCCTCTGACCTGGAGTGGTAGCACCTATTAGACTCCTAGCTATGGGAAAATAGTGAACGCCCAAACTGGGATCAAAACATTATGAAAGTGGAGAAATACATTATTATTGTTAGTGTGCAACTAATACATTTTCATAGTAAAAAGATTACCAGCAATATGTTTTCGTAAAAGAAAAAAAATATTACCAGGAATTTATTTTTTGTAAGTAAAAAAAAAAATATTGCCATTATACATTTTTGTAAAATAAATTACTACAATACATTTTTATAAAAGGAATTACTAATGTTCCAATGAAAATTAAATTTTCGGATTAAATGACCTATAATGAATTGATATGCCATTAAACAGATAAATCAATCAATAAAGATTACTCAAACGATTTTGGACTCTATCACGATCAAGTTCATATAGCAACATTCCACTTTTGGTCTAATATCACTTCTGTAGAGCATAATGAGGCGAGAATATGTCTCATAGTTCCTGGAGCGAAAGAAGAAGGACATTTTTCAAGATCTTCAGCAATATTTTTCATATGAAATCCACATGAAGTTTGGAATTAATATGGGACTCAATATACGTTCAAAGTATGAAGCTTTATTTAAATTGTAGTCATTCGGATAACTGAAAAAACTCCGGGTTTTAACGATGTTAACGGTGGAATAATGGAAAGCGGTTCGGACTGAGGAATCACAGAGCAGAGTTCGAATCCATTACATTCACTTACGTGCTAATACCCTTGGGAAAGGTATGAATCCTCCTGTTCTCCCCCAGCTATGCGTAAATGGCAGGATAGACCAGTTTCTGTAGCCTTCGATGGCAACTGGCTTATTCAAGAAAGAAATGGCAACCTACTGCGGGAAAAATCTGCCTTGTCAGTCATGTATCGAAAGATACATGATAGCCTAAGCGTGTATCACTCATGGCACATAATGACTGAGAGGCATATCAGCGGAGAGATCAGCTGCATGGCTCGGATCATTTGGTTTGTTAAATTCATTTTTTTCGATATCCATTGATTCTTTGTTGATGGATTGTTTTCGAGCAACTGAATTGCAAATCTCCTTATTCATTAGAATCCTTTTTACTTTATTTTTGCAAGCACATTTGATATGATAGAGAAGCTTATGGCTATACCATCTTGAAAACACCCGTTCTCGAACGATCACCGAAGTTAAGCAAAGTTGAGATGGTCAGCAACTTTATGAGTGAACGTTTGGAAATACCAGGTGCTGCAAGTTTGGCTGCGCGTTTTGTGTAATGGATAACGGACCGGGGTGAGACATGGGAGAGCCGAGTTCCAATTCCCGTCTGGTTCGTTAGATTCTTATGCGATCATAAATCGAAAAGAGAAATGATCATCCATCTTGTCATATGCGGCGCTACTATCACACATTAGGCCGACGCAGTAGAGTAACGACCTATTCCTCCCAATGTAACTTAGTAAAACCTACGTCATCACAGAACATTCGTGCTTTGAGTAGAAGAAGAAGAATACAATAGGTGGGTAGTTACAAGTTTTTATTTATTTATTCCTTCCTTATAAACTAGAAAAATTATTCAGAGTTTAAATAGTCAGACATCTTTATTTCTTACTTCAAAGTAAATAAATCTAATCGAGAATGAAGAAAAGGTAAGGAAGAGAATAAGGGCCATACTGATAATATTATGCGTAAAATTTTAAATACATTTGTAAGAATTTTATTATTATTTTCTTTTGTAGTAATCATTGGATGGTTTATTCTTTATTATCCAATTTGATCTTCCGTCATTCTTTGTCTTAAAAAGCCTTTCGCTTTTTATTTACCGTCATCGCCCTGACATCACTATAATCAGAATTATTAACCTTCTCTCTATATAACATATATCATTTACCCACCAGCATAGATTATGTCTCTCTCGCGAAGCGATATAGCGCATCTTAACCACTTCTACCATTCGCATCCTGTCTCTCTTCTTCTCACTATCTCTATTTCGCAGATATGATGTCGCAAGTGACACAATGATCTTGCCATTAAAAGGGCAGAACGTGGACTGCCTACATTTCCCCAGCTATGTATTACAAAGTGGTTCCGCCTGAGAAACGCCTGGGAGCACAATTCGTGCTGACAAGTTGTAATGGGAAATGCTCTGTGAATGCCGTCTTAGCGTACGGACGAGAGTGGCAGGTCCATCAAAGATGGCGCCAATAAGAGAAGCAGTCATGCTATTCAAACAAAAAGCGGGAACTTCGAAATAACTTTAACTTATCTGGGTTAGTGCTCTCCATAACGTATAAATAAGTATGTGTCTATCACACACTATAAACACATAAACATGTGTATAAATACAAGCACACACACACACACACACATATATATATATATATATATAAATGCACAGACACACACAAACACAAACGCATATATATGCTTGTGAGTAATATTTCGATTCTACAAGTTTGATAAATGAAAATTGAATTTTTTATGTAGATTTATGTTTATTTTTTCACGCACACATGGAAACATAGATAGATAGATAGATAGATAGATAGATAGATAGATAGATTTTAAAACTTTGTGTATTTGTTTTATCAATAATATTGTACGAATTAGTTTTCCAATAATAATTCTACTTGAAGGTGCTGAATAATAATCATTTGACATGAAAACGCTTCCTAATTTTATCTATCTATCTATCTATCTATCTATCTATCTATCAATCTATCTATCTATCTATCTATCTATCTCTCCATCTATCTATCTATGTTCCTCTCTAGCTATTCATCTCTCTCCCCCTATGTTCATATCTATCTATCTATCTATCTATCTATCTATCTATCTATCTATCTATCTATCTATCAGTTAGTCTCTATAGCTCTCTATCACTTTTAGTTACTATCTATCTATCTATCTATCTATCTATCTATCTATCTATCTATCATCAGTTAGTCTCTATAGCTCTCTATCACTTTTAGTTACTATCTATCTATCTATCTATCTATCTATCTATCTATCTATCTCAGTTCATCTCTATCTCTATCTCTCTATCACTATGAGATAGATGGATATGGATATGATAGATAGATAGATAGATAGATAGATAGATAGATAGATAGATAGAAGAATTCAAACATATACATAAATATACGGGAAGTTGGAAATGACTTTAATTTATCTGGGTCAGTGTTCTCCCTAACGTATAAATAAGTATGCGTCTATCGCGCACTACAAACACATAGACATATGTATAAACACACGCACACACGTGCACATGCGGACGCACACGGACATATACACATACGTGTGTGTTTGCGGGGGAGAAATATTTCGTTTGTATAAGTTTAATAAAGGGCAATTCATTTTTTTTATGTAGATTTATATATGTTTTTGATAAATCGGATCATTTCTTTTTGGCTTCAGGTAAAAAATGTACATATAAATTTTTCGATGTATAGTAATTTCAGCTTTTATGAGCCAGTATAATTGTTTTTATAATTTTGCGACTAGATGCATGTATAGTGAATTGTTTTATGTAAATTTTAATTTTGTTTTTTTTACATATGGCGACTTTTTTATGTATCGCTATTTCATGTGCATTTTTGTTGACGTGTCATTGTTTATTTTTTAAAATTGTTTCTTTTTAAAAATGTAGTATGTTTGTTCTTAAATCTGAAGAAATTTTATTGATGCCGGTTTATTACACACAGGCGCACGCACACATACACACACACACACGGAGATATAGATAGATAGATAGATAGATAGATAGATAGATAGATAGATAGATAGATAGATAGAAATAGACAAAGTCAGATAAAGAAAAACGAAAGTAAGAAATAGGCGTAGTTATATATATATATATATATATATATATATATATATATATATAGAGAGAGAGAGAGAGAGAGAGAGAGAGAGAGATAAAATGGGCAAAGTTAGATAAAGAAAAACGAAAGAAAGAAATAGGCGTAGATAGATAGATAGATAGATAGATGGAAGACTTTAAACGTATACATAAATACACACGCATATATATGCATGTATGCATATATGTACTGAATTCAACATAGTATGTTGCAAAAATATAAATTTAATGTTTGAACTCACGAACACGGCATTCATTTTCAATATACGATTGATATTTGATTGATTTGTTTGTTTTTTATGGCGTATCAGCCTTCTTCAGTTTATTTAAAGCCATAAAAATATTTTTTAGATTGTATGATGTGTTGTTGGGCGTGGATAAATAATGATTTACTGATACAGGTTCTACTGATTAATCCATAGCTGTGGGAGAAGATGTGGATTCATACTTTTTCCAATGATACTTGCACGTAAGTGATTATAACGAACTACACAAGAATTGAAATTTGACATACAGCATCTGCTATTCCAATGCAGTCACCACTCTAGGTATTGACGAAGCTCGACGTTGCTTAACTTCGCTTATCATTCGAGAAGCAGTATTTCAGAGTGATACCCTAAGCATGTGATTAATATAAATAAGTGTCATTTGTTTCTACACATTTAAAATTTAAATGTAACAATTATTCCGACAGAGATGTAATGTAATTTTTTAATCGGAGCTCTGTATTAGAATAATCTTAATAATTTGTCTATAAAATTTAAAGATTAAATGTAACCATTATTTCAGGACAAGTTTATAAATAATTTAATAAAACCTCCCTTTCAGGACAAGTTTATAAATAATTTAATAAAACCTCCCTTTCAGGACAAGTTTATAAATAATTTAATAAAACCTCCCTTTCAGAACAATTATTATGTTTATATAGTTCATATAGTAATTGAAACAATTACTTTAGAACATAGGTGATTGAATTTATTTTTTACGTATTTGACGACATGTTTATAAATAATTTAATAAAGCCTCCCTTTAATAATAATTGTTATATTTGTTTGCTTAGGTCATATAGTAACTGAAAGAAAATTCTTTAGAACATAGGTGATTTAATTTACTTGCCATATTTGACGGCATGTAAGACGCATATTCCGGCACACAGGAAAATAGCTCAGACTGTCAGCCGGCGTTTTATATTTTATGATTCACGAAGATTCACTACCGTTGGTCACAATTTTATCTCAGACAATCAGTTTCACCTAAGCCAATTATTATTATTATTATTATTATTATTATTATTATTATTATTATTATTATTCCTTTGATTTCTGGTGTGTACACATTTTTTCCGGGACGCGCTCAGAGACCTAAGTTTAGAAATGTTATCATGACATTTTCCATTGACCAATTAATGAAAAAACAAAACAAAAAAAAAAACAAAAAAAGAAATCCAAAAACATATTTTACATAGATAAAGCCCTTTGTAAGTTGTGGACTGTACTTTTGAGAACTTTATTATTTTATTTCTTTAAGGCATGGAATTCAAGGAATCCTTTAAATTAGTCTACTGAAATCTTTTCCAACCAATCCGAGGACTCCAACTAGAATAGGGATTGTTGATGTTCCCATGTACCACATTTTGAGATTTCGATTTCAAGTTAACTTGTATGTTGATAGCTTTTTTAAGATTTTCAAAGATACATTGCAGTCTGCAAGGACTGCGATATCAATAAAGAGGCACTTTTTTGTTTGCGGTCTCTAATAACAATGTCTGGGCGTATAGCTTCGATTGTTCAGACGGATGGGTACAAATATACAAAGCCTAGTATAGCCATCATGACAAGCAGTCCTAGAGAAGAAAACCAGACACATGTATTATAGTTAAATATGCCTGATACAGTGATAGGTTTTGATAAAAACAGAGTAAACCATTTCTGGTGGTGCTGAGTTCCCATGGTTTCCGAGTTATTGAAGTGATTCCGAATTTGTCTTGGCTGCCGTATTCTTCATACACGAAAAATAATCATCCCTTATGATAACTAGTCAGGATGCTCCTAACTGTTCTTTGCACATTAAAAGAGACGTACGATGCACCAGGCCCTAGGAGATATATCTAAATGTTTACACTCTGTGTAGAATACCTAAATATAGCAAGACTAAAAGATGTTCATGTTAACATCTCCAATCACTTGTTCGGTCTGTTGTCCTCATCTTTGTTGTCATGTTCATGACGTTTATGCGATTAGAATTTCTAACTGAACTATTTAAGTCGTTCACCGGGATAGACTTTTCTAGTTTCACATTTCATGCTTCTTCCGTATGTCTTAGTTATTTCGCTTTAATTCAACTCTCATATGTTAGAAAATACGCCCACCTCGTGGAATTAATCAAAGATGCTC